AGAGATTACATACTAGCGTGTTTTTAGAAAAACAAAGATAAAAATTATTAAATATTTGTTTTTTCTCTTCATGATAGAGCGATATACGTTTTGTAATTTAAATTGCATAGATAACTATTGACTTCTAAATATTTAATAAAATCTTATTTCGAAGAGGAGCAACATTTAGAAGCATTAATAAATGCTATGTTAAATAATTGAGATGCCATGCTAAAAAAAAAAAACGTAAAGTTTCATATCAGGAGACGCGGTATTATAGTGTGTGTTTGGTCATGTTCAAAAACTGAAAGACAAGTCTCTTATCCCGAGCTGGGAACAACATTATGAGTGTGAGCCTAGTTAACGTACAAAATTAAATACATGTACGAAAGGTGGACTGTATCAATAAATAACGTTGATTTTACATTTTTCTATTTTTTGATTTTTTATTTACGTCTCTCCACCCTTTGTTCGCATGCAGTATCAATAACGTAGAACGATGTGAATAAAAATGAATATTAAGGACGATATAAGTAAAATAAGAAATTATTAATTTTCCCTTTACCAATAATTAGTAATTGCTAATTACTACAATAAATTAATTCTTCTTTAAGGAACCTGAGTAATCGCTGCGACTACATTGGACTGTGACGTCATAAACAAAATAATAATACATTAAAATTTCTGGTATGCCTTTTGTAAATAAAGAAAATTTAGGTAAAACAAAATAATAAGATTATCTGTAAAAGTGGGTCAAAGCTCACTCCTCTTGTCAGCCAGTAAATAATCATAAAAAGCATGTAAAATGCGTTTACTAGCGTTTATTCATTGTGCATGCATATAGGCCTGTTCTTTTTGCCTTATTTCGATCAATCGTTTGTCTTTGTCTGTCTAATGGACCGATAACAAAGAGATTATATAATCTCTTTGACCGATAATCATGGACATAGGGAAGATTCGAACCAAAAAAATCATAGATATAGGGAAGATTCGAACCAGAAATCGTGGATATTACCGACATGATCGTGGACATTGGCTACATAGTTCAATGTCCACGTTTAGTGGACATAGAGGCGCTTCAAAATAAAGTTGTAGCTAAATCCCGGGCATAGCCGCTCTCAGGCTTCTCTCTGGTGAATGGAAGGCTTGCGACCAGGTAGAGACCCTCTAGGGTCTCTAGCTTGTGTGTGTATATAGCGCCTCGCCATGGTAAAAGTATGAACTAATAGGCGTGAAAAAGTGATGTTTTGACGACAAATTTTTTCTTGCGTGCCATTTCGTCAATATTTGCTTATTTGTGAAAATGTGACTTCCCTCGTACTCGTAAAAATCCTAAAAATTGGCGGAAACTGCAGTTATCGTGAAATTTTATACGTAAAAGCGTATATTTCACTCGTTTCATCAGCTGTCAAAATGTGTGATTCTGTCCGAGTATAGGCTCACTTTACGTGTCTTTTACGACCATTTACTGACTATCAGAGGAGGAAAGGATAGTTTCCGCCAATTTTCACAAGTGTTTTTGAGCGATCTCGCCTTTTAAATTTATCCAAATTGTCTTTATTAAAAAATGGGACGCAAGAAAAATTAATGTTTTTTCTCGCCTATGACGTCACAATTCCAACATGGCCATCGCCGGTATTCAGGAGCCTTAAGACGTGATCTGGCCGTATCGTTATATTAAATTTTCTGGAGGCGAGAGCCATTAATTAAATAAGAAGAAGAAGAAGATACACGAATCATCTTCAGCATGTCCTTGACAAAGTAAGAGTTATTTTCATATGCAAATTTATGTTTAGTAAAATTATTTCATTACTATTATCACATATTAAATAATACAGAAAAAAAGAGACTCTTTCTTTGTGATTGACTTGAAAACAGTTATCTTAACCTATAAGCATAGAATCAGGACGTACAAATTATCTGGTTGTAATAATAGTTGTTTAATTTCTTTCTCCGATTTAGCTTGTTACCTGCCCCTACTCAAGTGTTGTGGGATAGGGAGGATGAGGCTCGCGAACAAAAATTACGGCAAAGACCGGTTTCAGCGCTGGTTAAAGCCGTTGTTACGGCACCACCTTATGGGCAGCGACGAGGATGGATACCACGCAATCCAGAAGTAAGCAATTGCCATAATTTGACAAATATACATTCTTTATCAGCATAATTTAATTTCTTTTGCATTTTCTAAAATCACAAGTGATTATGTCAACTTTGTAATTCTTCTAAGTATAATACATTGTATATGACACGTAGGACTTTGGAGATGGAGGAGCTTTTGCCGAAATTCATGTGGCACAGTATCCACTTGGAATGGGGATAAAGGGCAAGGAATCTACAAGCAATGCCTTAGCAATACAACTCGACGCTCAAGGAAAAGTAAAGTATGATCTTATAGCAAGACAGGGTCATAGCAAAGATAAAGTAAGTTTCGATCTTGCTGTAAATATGTATTCTGGAATTATAAACTAGCATCTTTAATTCATTAATTTTTTTTATAGATTGTCTATAGCAAGTTGAGTGATTTGCTACCATCAGAAATTACAAATGAGGAAGATCCTACCTTGCAACGACCTCTGGATGATGAAATTGATGAACTCACAGATAAAACAAAAAAAGCGTTAGAAAAGATAACGAGATCAAAGATTGCAGCAGCTATGCCTGTAAGATGCGCAGAGAAACAAGCTCCGGCTCAGTATATACGTTACACACCGTCACAACAAGGACAATCCTTCAATTCAGGCGCAAAGCAAAGAGTTATCAGAATGGTGGAGGCACAAATTGATCCTCTGGAACCACCAAAATTCAAGTATGTACAGTGAAAATAAGATGATTGTGAAATTGAATAAGGGAACAACTACAATTACTGGATGTTTTAATTAAAAAATTTTTGATTGCAGAATTAATAAAAAGATTCCGCGAGGACCTCCATCTCCTCCAGCGCCTGTTATGCATTCTCCCACGAGAAAAGTAACGGTAAAGGAACAAAAAGAATGGAAAATTCCACCATGCATAAGCAACTGGAAAAATGCAAAAGTATGAAGTTTAAAATTATTTTATGTCTCACATTTTGTACTTGTCTTACTACCATAAGAGATAATATTGAAATGTTAATTTAATATACTTGATTCTACCTAGAATTTTATCTAAGAAACAAAACTATGTTTTTAGGGTTACACCATTCCCTTAGACAAACGTCTCGCTGCAGACGGTCGAGGGCTACAACAGGTTCATATTAATGAGAATTTTGCCAAGTTGGCAGAAGCTCTTTACATCGCGGACAGAAAAGCTCGGCAAGCTGTCGAAATGCGAGCGCAATTAGAAAAGAAATTGGCTCAAAAAGAGAAAGAGAAGAAGGAAGATCATTTGAGGCAACTCGCGCAAAAAGCTCGAGAAGAGCGCGCTGGCTTGAAATCTGCAGCAACGTTAGGTTTGTATAATTGCTAGTTCACATACAAAATAAATAATAAAATATTTCGGAAAATTAAATCAAGACAAAAATAATAAAGAGATGTTTTTTTTCTCTCTACAGATAAATCTGAAGAATCACGTGAGAGAGATCAACTTAGACAAGAACGGCACAAGGATCGCGCTCGCGAACGTAATTTAGCTCGCGCTGCACCTGATAAACGTTCTCGTTTGCAACGCGAACGCGAGCGCGACATTAGCGAACAAATTGCACTCGGTTTACCAGCAAAAAGCGTTCCTAATACGGGAGAAGCGCAGTTTGATCAACGTCTTTTTAATACCAGCAAAGGGATGGATAGCGGTTACGGACATGACGACGAGTATAATGTCTACGATAAGCCGTGGAGGGATGGCAATTCTATTGCTTCGCACGTTTACCGTCCTAGCAAAAATATTGACAAAGACACGTATGGAGACGATTTGGAGAAATTGATTAAAACAAACAGGTGAGAATATTTATATTTTGTCTACACAATAAGTTTTAATTTAAATAATTATGAGTAGTCTATAAATAAATTGTCTATAAATTTAATGCTATTGTTGCTTGTTTTTTTTTTATTATAGATTCGTTCCTGACAAGGAATTTAGTGGAGTCGATAGATCGGTTACGCGATCGGGACCAGTACAGTTTGAGAAAGATGAAGAAGATCCTTTCGGTCTGGATCAGTTCTTGAAACAGGCAAAGCGCGCCAGTAGCTCGACTACCACAACAACAAAGCGCAAAGAACAAAGCGAACGGGAACAACGCAGAGACGATCGTGATAAACGTAGAAAGCATTAAGTATGCTTAATATACTTTCTCATATATCAGGCGAGATATTCTTAAAAGTTTATTTTACGTTATGACAAAAAAAAGATTAAAAACGTAAGACATGCAACACTTATTTTTATACATATAAATAGATGGTACTGTTTAAATATAATTAATTATTAGTTATTGTGAAAAGTACATCGTAGCTTTGACATATTACGAAAATGATAGTAACATGATGTTTTATAATTATATTAGAATTATAGATCTTATTTTGAGTGTGTATTCTCATTTTCAATTTGTATAAATGTAGAAAACATTTTTGTACATAAACTATAATTAATAAAATTTGGTGATAGTTACATTATTGTACACTTCTTCTTAATAAAGAAAAGTTCTTTTTGTGAAAAATATAGTAGTATAATGTATATGAAAAATTTGAGCCTCTACAACTGTCCATTCTATTTTTATTACTTATTTCGAGAAAAAACAAACGCATTTATCATTTTAATAGGGAAACTTCAACAAATTTAATGAGGATTATATATAGGTCGCTTCATGAACAAAAATTATTGCTTTTCTTCATTTATTTTGAACTTTATCGCGGAATAACGCGTCTATATTTTTAATCGTCAACCATTTATTCTCGCTGTAATGTTGAATAAACTTTTAAGAAATTATTACGTGGATATTGGACACAATTATATAGAAATACAAAATATATAACCAAAAAAATCCTTCTAATTTTTATTGGAGGAACCTAAACCTATACTTGTAATATAAGAGTTAATAGAAAAATAAAAATTTGTGATTTAAAAGATTACAGATCTAAATTTATAATATTTGAAGAGATTGATTTGAATATATTTCTATATCATTTTTTAAATGAAATAAATTCTTTCGAATACATTTTAATTGATCCATTTTTTACGCGGTATAAAACTTCGTGCCCTTGTGCGAAATTTGACATTGGTCAAATCAGCAACACAAGACTGTCTTCGAAATTAAGGACGTTCTCTGAAAAATCAATTTTCTTTAGATTTTTCTGAAACTTACAGAAAAAGCTTGTTTTAGTGTCTTGAACATGTGTGCTTTAAAACTCAATAGCCGAAATGGGATTAAAAATCAAGATATTTCACTTCAAAGTTGAAGCGTTTGACATAAGATTTCTATCTAAAGTTTATTCAAAAGTGGTCTTTTTATTCACTATTAAAAGAAGTTTTTCTTTGAATAGAGAACTATATTTTGACAGAATTTAGGAAATATTATAAAACGTAAGAAACATCAAGGATGAAAAAAAATCATAATTGATCGATTTTAATTTATGAATAATTATTACTTTATGAATATTGAAAATTTTCAAAAATATTAAATCTTATTTGCTTGTATGTGCATATCAGTTGATTAGCTGAAAAAAATATACCTTCACACAGGAAATTAAGAAAAAAATTACAATATTAAAGAGAGAACTTTAATAAAAATAAAAATCTTTTCGCATTTATTTCTTGTTGTAATAGAATAATATCAGTTCACAAAATTTGTATGTGTGGGCGCGTATATGCGCATATTCATGAAAATAATAGATACAAGTGAAATTTTTCACAGATGTGAATCTTCTAAGTGCCAACACATGTTAAAAAAAAGAATATATATTTTATTTAATAAAGAATATTCCATATATGTTGTACAGATTCTGAATTATTCAATTTACAATGTCCACAAAAAAATCAAAAGTCGCATACATCTACATTGTATTGATTACAATATTTTTAATATTTTAAAATATACATTTTATTACATATGTACAGAATTATTAGTTATATTTGTCGGATCAAAAAATTACTTTTATGAGATGTTCCAGATAGGTTTCAGTTTATTGAACGCACCTATCTTTTTTAAGATCACATTACTGTTCCCAATTTGACGGATAGATATCAGACTTGATACAACCTAATTTTAATTTGATTAGAATAAATTCTATAAATACTTATTCTGTATCTCTATTTTTCTACTTTTTATTTTACACTATTTTACCGTTTAATCCTGTTTAAATCTACACATGTATTCATAAAACAATGCTTTTATTTTTAGATTCTTTTTGGAATTTGAATGTAAACTTTTTGCATTATTCCAGATAATTAAATATCCTTTTATCAGAGATTATTGTAACTAATAGCATAAAAAACGCTAGTTTATTACTTGAAATATTATACTAACTTTGCATATAATAGTATCACAGAAAATGTATTGTGCAGTATTTTACATATATACTGCAGATTTTTACAAATCAACATAATTTTTCTAATAATGGTAATTGCAAATTATATATAAAACGATTTTATTGTCTTTAATCAATCATTTATATAATGATTTTAATCATTTACATTAATATAAAGAGTCAAGATATATTTGTTTATATACATTGTCCTAGCATTTATGTAAAAAATGAAATTAATAACTAATTTTTTTGTGTTAATTCTAATTGTGGACGAAATTGATCACATGTATTTCAATTAATTATTTTACGCATAAGGTAATTGTCAAATGCTGCATACAAATAAAACAAATACAAATAAAACGTAATTTTATCATTTACGTTTTACAAACGTTGTCTTTTTCGAGGAATTTTCTAGTTTTAACATGCATAAATATCTCAACGGTAAAAGTGATGTTCTTGTGCATAATTAATTGAATTTATAAAATTTTATTTACATCTTGCGCAACTTAGAAAGATTAAAATAGATTAAGATATAATAACTGGTAGACAAAAATATTTTTAATTAGGTCTAGAATTCGGAAGGCAGATGGTAATACTAACAGAATTTTTCTTCAAGACGTGTGAGGGTGCGTTTCGAATTACGTATAAAACGTGTAACTTATCAATACATCCTCCTCTATTATTCGGTGGCAACAATGATAAATGATGTATCATTAATAATTCGGAGCACACTTATATTAATAATACAATAAGTTATAACTAAAACAATCATACTACATAATCATTGTAATAAAAAAATTAAGAAAGTAAATTTTATTGATAGATCATCAATAAAAAAAATATTATTTTTATTATATTATATTATCAATAAAATTATTTCAATAATCTCATGAATATAATTATTTGACGAATCACATGATCTTTCTTTCATCTGTATGTTTGTTTCTTAACACTAGTGTAGACTCGATCACACTTCTAAAATTTAAGCGTATTTGCGCGTAACTCTGTCTTTAAGTTTTCTCTTTTTCGGAAGGCAAATGGTTGTAAATTTAATTATATTGTTTAGTCTATACAGAAATAATTGTATTGCTTGTTTTATACTGATACTTTGCTTGTATTTCTATCGCTAGAGTTGTCACATTTACATAGTTCTGTTGTCTCTCCTGTACATTTTGACGGACAACCGTCTTTTATCGCCTCTGATTTTATTTCAATATCATAAATTTTAGTTTTTGGCGATGGTTGTTCATATTTGCATATCACAGCATACATATCGCCACCTAAACGAAGCGCCAGCCAACGATTCTTTATAACTGCTAATTTCAGACATTCGCATTTCATTTTAGCGTGAAAATTCGTATGTAAAGTTCTACCCATTCCCTCAATGACTACAAGATCCACATTATGCTCGACCATTGCAAGACATAAATCCAAATTCAGACGACTGTTAACATCAAAATAATGTTAGTTAATTAACATTATTGAAGTATTAATTAAATTACAATTTCAGATTTTACATTACAAGTCAAATAATAACTTGTAATTATGAAATATTTTAAACATGAATACCTGAGATCCAAACAAGGACCTGCTTGCGCAGTTTCCATAGCTATGAGAGTATTGTCTTCCAGCGCTTGTTTGATAACATTACAGATTTTCGCGGCGTCCCGTAATGTGACGACTAATTCAGGATATGTTACATCATTCAAAGCTGGCATAGAATTAGCACACAATATTACCTGAAAGCATAAAAAATAATTTTATATATTAATTTATGTTTAATGTGATTAAATAAATTTTATTAATTAGATAATAAATTCGTATTAAAAAATTAGATCACAGTGCAAAAGTTCGTGCCCGATTTATTATTCAAAATTAATAATAAGTCGGATATGAACTTTTGCACTGATCTAATAATACATACATATATATATATATATATATATAATAAATTTGTTTTTTTAAAATAGTTTGAAGTATGATTCAAGTATGGATAGCATCAGTAAAACTAACTTTAGTTCCTCGTTGCAATAAATCTCGTGCAAATGGCAGAATTCCAAGAATTATATCTACGCCACTATTATCGATAAAGATGGCTGCACATTTGTGAGGTGGTCCATTCTGTAATCTGTGTATCCAATCATCTAAATTATCCTCTAGCCATGGTCTGCCTATTTCGAATTTCAAAAATTATGATAGAATATTATTTTAAAACATATCAAGAGTAGAAAAGAATTTATTAGAACACAATTTTCGTAATACTAAATGTTACAATATTAATGTTTTTATTTAATAACAATGATTTACCTGGAATTTTCGCTTGAGCTTCTTCAAAACCAAAATCATTGGTTTCTAATAGCTTTGCAACATCTTTTGCACCCCAATCAAATATATTACCACTGAGAACACCAAGAATCAAAGCTTTTATCTTTTCTACACCTTCTAACTTATCTATAACAGTTATACGTTCATGTAGATATCTTAACGCTTCTTCGTTCTCCTTTCTTTTTTGCTGCAAACAAAGCAAGCATATAAATTTCATTTTGATAAATTTATTTTAAAAATACCGAAGAATCAAACTAGATATACCTACATGTAGGTACGGATCTGGAAAATCGAATTCTTTCATGCAATGCTCGATGGTGTCCAATAATATTCTAACCGTAAGTGCCCCATATGCACTGTAAGTTTGTATTACTCAAATTAATAACTCGATAAATAAATTAAATTGTTTTTACCGCGTGCGATTAATTTTAGTATTTTTCATAGCGACAAAAAACTTACAACGGCTGCGCATGAAGATAGTGTAATCTGTTTATGTATTTCTCTTTTAGTTTTAATCCTCTGTCTTTTGCTGTTGGACTGAGTGGTTGACTATGAATAGCTCTCGATACAAATTTATCCACAGATTCTTCAAAACATTGCAGCCAATAATCTCTATAAGCAGAAACATTTTAAAATTTAAAACTAATAATTAAATTCAAGAAACATTTTAAGTCTTTACATTTATACATAATTATTGAAATTAAGTAAAAGTCTCACCTTGCCTCTTTATCCTGAGCGAGATCTGTAGTGTCCGGATTGTAAGACACGGGATCTTTCAATAACGGGCAGAATGTAACCGCATATTCCGCTTGGTCAATTTCTAATTGATCGACTTTAATTCCGAGATCGGTTGACACAGAATCTTTAAAACTGGATGACCCGGCATAATTTTCTAACCAACTGCATTTATCTTTTTGTTCGGTACTATACAAATATGCTCCAATCGCACCAAGATAACCTTCATGACGAAGAAAGAGAGGGGTTACCTTATCCTAAATAATAGATATGTGACAATAATATAAATTTTACAGAAACGTACAATTTATGTCAAGACAATCTTGCACGCAAGACAATCTTTGACGTAAACAGCTAATTATTTAAATTATATGATTCAAAGCTATATAATAATTAGATCTATCAAGAAAACATTGGAAAAATTGAGAAAAAGTTAACATAAGGACTAACATGAGACCAATATTTGATAGAATATGAGATAGTATGCATTGATAATGGATGATTACGAAGGAAATAACCACCAAAGTAAACCCTGTCCATGTTGTAAACGGTTGCATACAAACTAGCTATGTGTCCAATATCATTGCTGATGGTGAACAGTAAACTTCTTGCAAGATCAGCTTCAGAAAATTTTGGCTGTCCTAGAATGTTATTAATATAATTAATATCTAAAACTGCTATTATTCAAATATCATAGATATTTAATTTGTTAGGTATTTGCTTGCGATATTTTAATACTTTCTAATTATGCACAAAAGAATTTTGTTATACATTCGTGCTTCTAAAAATTGATTCGTAAAATTACGCTAATTTCCACTTGTAACTAAAACTTTAACGATTTGATATGAAAATAATAAAAAAATAATTAATAATCAATTATTTTTAATTTGATTTTAAATAGATCTCCAAAAAAATGTACTAGAAATTTTTTATGTAAACATTTTTCACTTATTTATATACAATCTTACTTACCACAAGCCACCGCTTTGCCAAAAGATGATGCAATAAGCTCTCCAGATAAACCTTGGGAGGAATAATCGCCCCCATAAATATCTTTCACTAACATATCTACATTACGGTGATCTCCTCGTTCTGCAAGTTGCAGCAATTCATCAAAGTCCTAGTAGGGTGTTTTTAAAGTCATTGTTTAATACATATCTATATATACAATTCTCACACGACTCAATGGTACTATGATGGAGCAGAATCTTCTCATATAATTAATTTCGTTATAATTTTATTTCTAGATATTTGTAAAAATTAAACCTAATCCCTCCAAATATAAAGATATTGTTACGCATTTACTGTAGTAGTAGTAGTAAACAGAAATTAATCTAATGATAAAGATTATTAAGGTATAATCTAAAAAATTACATAAATTCTATAGGTACCTTTCTTTTCGTAAGTAATGATCCCAAACCCCAAAATGTACCTCCTCCTGTGGCTGTACCTCCGACTCTTTCAAATATTTCATCTGATTCTACCTATCAAAAATAAAAAAGTTTTAAAATAAATTTATTGAGAATAACTTATTACTATGGTAAGTAAGTTTATAAGTATCTATTGCTTACTTTAAGAATACTGACGCCACTGCCAACGTTAACCAACAAATACGGAAATATATTAGGTCCAGCTTTTTGAAACTTATACTCTGGATTCGCATGTCGGTGATATTCAAATGCTTCACATGGTATATTTTTGAGCAAGAAATTACAACCCTTTATCAGACAGTCTATCTCGTCTTTTTTGTCAACTCTGCAATTTTATCTTATCAATCAGTAAACATAATGTCTCGAGAGTTTCATGTACCAAAAAATTAAAGAATGAATATTTCATATTGTAAGATATATACTTGACATTGAAAATTCAGTTAGTGAAAAAAAGTTAATAAATATATATATGTATATAAACTTACAATAATCCTAATTTATCTTGCAGCAATGGGGTATACTTGAATGCTCCACCTCCAGTAACTTTAATACTTTTTCCATGAAATCGTTCAACATCCACTAAATTCTTTTTGACAAAGTCTAAGCAGTTCTCGATATATCTTGTCTCAAACTTAACAAAATGTAGTCTATTACCCTCAAATACCTTGTATGCTAGTTCTCCACTGTTCCCTAAACCTTCTGCATCCTCATAAAGTGCTTTGCGATAACTAATTGTTGAATAATAAGCAATTTTGGTTAATGATAATCCTGAAATAATACACAATAATGTATACCTAAATTTGGATATGATGTAAAACATAAAAACTATAATGATAATAACTTAACAATATATTTAATAATAAAATTCACTAAATAATATTACAATAATAATAAAGGAACATTATTATATTATTTTTCATAAATTTTTACAATTTATATAATTGTATATCAATGTAAATTTTTTTCATAATTCAATCCTTTTTTAAGCTTGATAAAGTGAAATAAAAACTACTTGGACACAATAGAATCAAAAATAACATAGTATGTAAATTAATTTTTAAGAGATATGATATATATAAGATCAAATGAGTTTTATTCTATTTGTTTTTCTTGTTGATATTTTAATAAGAAAACAGCTTTAACAAAATAATTAAAAAAAAATATCCTTAAAAAGAAAACATTACTGTATATGAAATATTTGTTAATTTATGTTTTCTTTTATTTTTATTTATGTTAAATGATAATTTATGTACAAAAATAGAAGCATAGCTACATAATTTAGTACGCAATATGCTGTTAATAGATATTTATTACGTTACAATATTGTGACAGTTAAACTCGATCGTTGACTCAACGATGATTACTTGAACTGATATTAACGATCATGTTAACCTCTCAAGGGGTCAGGAATCACGGGAGGGACTAACCCCAACTTCGGGAAGATACCGGGTTAACGACGTACCGATGTCTATGGCGAAGGTCTGCGCATTCTTCAAATTGGCGAACACCTCGACAGCGGGTGGTAATTTGATGCATCGTGGATGCGATCGTTCGTCGCTGTCGTTCTCCGCTGCCATCCCCAGGTCTACGAATGATTTGTACGGTTTCTCTCACGACTGTGACTTCGCGGTACCTCCACGGGCATTTAATGCGACTGACAGATTGGCGAACGTGTTTGCATCACGATCACGATAATCAGGTGCCAGATAAGTAGTCTCCAATGCAGTACATCGCCGACGTAAATTCCCGATTCAAGGGGGAAAAATAAAAGATCCCTTCAAGGGAAGGGGTTTTCGTGTTTTTCTTTTTTTCTCTCTTTCTTTCTTTCTCTCTCTTTCTCTCTACTACAGTGTGGCGCAACGAGATCTATTTAGGGTGCGGTTCACTTGACACTACAAATGCTTCGAAGTTTTTGATTGACCAATCGAAAAAAAGAATTATACTAACTAACCAATCAAAAAGTGCTTCAAAACATAGCAATAGACTGTAATCTTAATTCGTGTTTACCCAAATCTGAACGGCGCAAACTGCCGATTTAAATAAATTCTGAAAGTATAAAATATTTATTTTTCAAAATCAGATTTAATTTTTGACAAATATTTAGGAATTTCAAAATAATAAAATTAATAAATAATAGTAAGGCTTTATAAAAATAAATTTAAATAATCAATTGAGAGCTAGAGTTGGTTCTCAGCCCTTCTGTTACGTCATGATGAACAATCTTAGTGCAACTATAGCAAATTTTCATCAATTCATTAGTTAATCCATATGGCGCCAACTGCTGAGTTAAAAATGGGTATCACGATGAACATTTTAAGCATCTAAAATTGTTAGATTGCTTGGCAATTTAACTAAAGTGATATTACCGCGGTAGTCGTTTAGGGTTGCGTTGTAAGTCTGAAAAAAATTTCGGCACGCGATTGAGTGAACTACATACGCGGTACATAAATTCACACCAATTCACACATTATAATAAGCATTGTGATCTAGCTTTGACCGTTAATGGCTTTGCTTCCTTTCTTCTTATTATTGTTTATCAATTGTACGGTCGTAAAAAAGATTCTTATATTTGTTTATATTAATATGCATACAAATATATATGTGCCCTCATGTCCTGTATCAGACAAAACTGAGAAGTAGAGGATTTCTGTTCTTTATTGCATGCATTCGTAACACTGTTATAGATGTGCACATAAATTTATCATAAATGAGTCAATAGGTTTTACATTTGTTATGCAATTCCTCTTTCGCTAATAGCGATATTTATTTCAAACATTAAAATAAATTGCCGTTGAAAGCCAACACAGGATGAAAGTGTGTAATGAAATTTATTTAGTTTTTTTAGTATTTATTTCATTGTTGATATTTATTTCATTTCTAGCATAGAAAATTATTTGCGATTACACCAGATCTGTTTTTTCGTAATTAAACTTGTATTTTTCATCTTTTCTATCCTTGTAAGTTTTCTGTAGTTGAATAGTTACACACTTTTCGAACTTAAAATGGGATAGCTGTATCTTTTGACATTTGAAGAAAGTGAGAAGGACAGTTTCAGTGCAGTCTAGTGCAAACGTATAAGAAGCAGTTCCTTTATCCTTTATCCCACTTTCTCCCTTTCTTGTCTCTCCAGTTGATCACGCATATTCTCTTCCCTTATGTTCTTAGTGGCTAACGGTCGGGTGGTTCGTCAGAACTGATAATTTGTGTATAAATTGTATCAACTGGAAAGAACACATACACACATATACATTATATCCATACATATACACTACACACATAACCTTTGACTATAGTCAAAGCACATAACTGACACACACGCACGCACACATTATACTACTATATTTTTCACAGAGAGAATTTTTCTTTATTAAGAAAAAGTATACAATAATGTAACTATCAGCAAATTTTATTAATTATAGTTTATGTACAAAAATTTTTTCTAAATTTATACAAATTGAAAACAAGAATACTCAAAATAAGATTTATAATTCTAATATAATTATAAAACATCGTGTTACCATCATTTTCGTAACACCTCAAAGCTATGATGTACTTTTCACAATAACTAATCATTAATTATATTTAAACAGTATCATTTATTTATAAGTATATAAATAAGTATTGCATGTCTTACGTTTTCAATCTTTTATTTTTGTCATAACGTAAAATAAACTTTTAAAAATATCTCGCCTGATATATCAGAAAGCATATTAAGCATACTTAATGCTTTCTACGTTTATCACGATCGTCTCTGCGTTGTTCCCGTTCGCTTTGTTCTTTGCGCTTTGTTGTTGTGGTAGTCGAGCTACTGGCGCGCTTTGCCTGTTTCATAAAAAAAAAACAAGCAACAATAGCATTAAATTTATAGACAATTTATTTATAGACTACTCATAATTATTTAAATTAAAACTTATTGTGTAGACAAAATATAAATATTCTCACCTGTTTGTTTTAATCAATTTCTCCAAATCGTCTCCATACGTGTCTTTGTCAATATTTTTGCTAGGACGGTAAACGTGCGAAGCAATAGAATTGCCATCCCTCCACGGCTTATCGTAGACATTATACTCGTCGTCATGTCCGTAACCGCTATCCATCCCTTTGCTGGTATTAAAAAGACGTTGATCAAACTGCGCTTCTCCCGTATTAGGAACGCTTTTTGCTGGTAAACCGAGTGCAATTTGTTCGCTAATGTCGCGCTCGCGTTCGCGTTGCAAACGAGAACGTTTATCAGGTGCAGCGCGAGCTAAATTACGTTCGCGAGCGCGATCCTTGTGCCGTTCTTGTCTAAGTTGATCTCTCTCACGTGATTCTTCAGATTTATCTGTAGAGAGAAAAAAAACATCTCTTTATTATTTTTGTCTTGATTTAATTTTCCGAAATATTTTATTATTTATTTTGTATGTGAACTAGCAATTATACAAACCTAACGTTGCTGCAGATTTCAAGCCAGCGCGCTCTTCTCGAGCTTTTTGCGCGAGTTGCCTCAAATGATCTTCCTTCTTCTCTTTCTCTTTTTGAGCCAATTTCTTTTCTAATTGCGCTCGCATTTCGACAGCTTGCCGAGCTTTTCTGTCCGCGATGTAAAGAGCTTCTGCCAACTTGGCAAAATTCTCATTAATATGAACCTGTTGTAGCCCTCGACCGTCTGCAGCGAGACGTTTGTCTAAGGGAATGGTGTAACCCTAAAAACATAGTTTTGTTTCTTAGATAAAATTCTAGGTAGAATCAAGTATATTAAATTAACATTTCAATATTATCTCTTATGGTAGTAAGACAAGTACAAAATGTGAGACATAAAATAATTTTAAACTTCATACTTTTGCATTTTTCCAGTTGCTTATGCATGGTGGAATTTTCCATTCTTTTTGTTCCTTCACCGTTACTTTTCTCGTGGGAGAATGCATAACAGGCGCTGGAGGAGATGGAGGTCCTCGCGGAATCTTTTTATTAATTCTGCAATTAAAAATCTTTACATTAAAACATCCAGTAATTGTAATTGTTTCTTATTCAGTTTCACAATCATCTTATTTTCACTGTACATACTTGAATTTTGGTGGTTCCAGAGGATCAACTTGTGCCTCTACCATTCTGATCACCCTCTGTTTTGCACCTGAGTTAAATGGCTGTCCTTGTTGGGACGGTGTATAACGTATATACTGAGCCGGAGCTTGTTTCTCTGCGCATCTTACAGGCATAGCTGCTGTAATTTTTGATCTCGTTATCTTTTCTAACGCTTTTTTTGTTTTATCTGTGAGTTCATCAATTTCATCATCCAGAGGTCGTTGCAAGGTAGGATCTTCCTCATTTGTAATTTCTGACGGTAGTAAATCACTCAACTTGCTATAGACAATCTATAAAAAAAATTAATGAATTAAAGATGCTAGTTTATAGTTCCAGAATACATATTTACAGCAAGATCGAAACTTACTTTATCTTTGCTATGACCCTGTCTTGCTATAAGATCATACTTTACTTTTCCCTGAGCGTTGAGTTGTATTGCTAAGGCATTGCTTGTAGATTCCTTGCCCTTCATCCCCATTCCAAGTGGATACTGTGCCACATGAATTTCGGGAAAAGCTCCTCCATCTCCAAAGTCCTACGTGTCATATACAATGTATTATGCTTAGAAGAATTACAAAGTTGACATAATTACTCGTGATTTTAGAAAATGTAAAAGAAATTAAATTATGCTGATAAAGAATGTTTATTTGTCAAGTTATGGCAATTGCTTACTTCTGGATTGCGTGGTACCCAACCTCGTCGCTGTCCATAAGGTGGTGCCGTAACAACGGCTTTAACCAGCGCTGAAACCGGTCTTTGGCGTAATTTTTGTTCGCGAGCCTCATCCTCCCTATCCCACACCACTTGAGTGGGGGCAGGTAACAAGCTAAATCGGAGAAAGAAATTAAACTACTATTATTACAACCAGATAATTTGTATGTCCTGATTTTATGCTTATAGGTTAAGATAACTGTTTTCAAGTCAATCACAAAGAAAGCGTCTCTTTTTTTCTGCATTATTTAATATGTTATAATAGTAATGAAATGATTTTACTAAACATAAATTTGCATATGAAAATAACTCTTACTTTGTCAAGGACATGCTGAAGATGATTTGTGTATCTTCTTTTTCTTATTTAATTAATGGCTCTCTCGCCTCCAGAGAATTTAATATGACGATACGGCCAGATCACGTCTTAAGGGAAACCGTATAATAAGTAAACCGTACAAAAAAGTGGAAACGAACGGGTGATGCAATGACCGCGAAAATGGCGTTGCTCGACCGGTCTCCGGGAGCCTGCCAATAATGCGCGTTATGAGTCGTCAAAAAGTGCAAATGACGAACAATCGAGACGAGCTCATCCGCGGACACACATCTGTATGGTGCGATGCGCAATCAAAGTCGGCAACACTTTCAAAAATATACAATGGAAATTGGAAAGCACCCGAACCGAAACGCGTCCGTAACCATAGAGTAAAGAATTTCACCATGTCCGTAACCAAGAAGACTAGAGGCTTGTTCTTTTTGCCTGCACTGTCTGCACCAGTTCAGACAGTGCAGTTGAAGTGAAACAAACGTATATCTATTTCACTTCAACTTATTGCACTGTGGCAGAGAGAACTCTGACTGTGGGCACAATGCAGAGTTCAGTTTCCGATTCTCGACACTCGCAGTACTCGTGAATTTAGTAGTGCTGCGTATAATGAGTGCGAGTAAGAGAAATGATCATTTCTCTTACTCGCACTCATCAGAATCAAAAACTGAACTCGAAACCTAAAATGGGTTCACTTTTATTTTACGGAGAGGAATCTCCTTATGTCTTCCTTCATGCACACACACACACATAACTGACAGCTAAATCTGAAACTTCGTGCTTTCACCGTTTCACCACGCGAGGTCTCCAAGATCAACTCGTGTAAAGGTGGGGATACTGGGGATTAATAATTCTCTTGTCACTTTTGTCAAGATACCTTTTCAATAGCTCTTATCTGGGAGGTTGGAGCCATTAACTAAGAAGAAGAAGAATAGCTCTTGTCGGTTGATATGTCTCAATGAGCCAAATTTTTATAGTGTTTATAGTACTTAAATACTTATTAAAATTTATAAAATGACTTCTAAGTCTGAGATCACTTTGGAGCATTTCTATATTTTTAATGGCACTTATGCAAAGAAGGAAGGAGAGGCAAGTATTCAGAGATGTATCAAAAACTAATCTTTGGATTAAAATAATAATTTTTATGTGATATGAACATACGTTAATTTTCATTAGGAAGAAAAGAAGATATTGTATTACTATCCAGAAAAAGATTTAGATGTTCAGATCAAGAACATAGGGCTTAGCGAAGCAATAATCAAATTTACAGAGTATGTATAATAATTATGTATATCTGTAAAGAATACTGTTATGAAAGAAAATGCATTACAGATCTTTTAATCCTGGACAGCCATGTGATTATTGCCATACACATAAAACACGTCAGATATACTATCAACCAGAGCCCGATTTTTGGATGGTAATGGTACGTACTTTAGAAAATATAATAGATACGACATTTATCATTTTTTTACTAATACTAGTATGAGGTACAAAGTAATTTTATTAATACTTTGCAGATCATTGGTGTACCATATATCTATAAAGAAAAAGACGGTAATAAGTATCAGAATGATGAAGTATCCAGCAGTGTTTGTCAAGCTATCTTAAAGCAGACCTATATGATGTTTAGATTATTTATGGGTTCCTTTGAAACTATCATTAATGATCCTGAATGTGGTTCTGTAATGTTGTTAAAACTTAAACTAGAACATTTTTATTCACGAGTAAGCAAAGTCATATTTTTTCACACAGACACAATCAGATATAAACTAATTAAGCTTGACACGCGAAAATATATCCTTTATTTTATTTCATTCTTGATTTATTTCAGTATCTACTTTCGTTAAAACTAAATAATAGTGATATACTAGATGTTTTCCAAGGTCTACAATTCTTACCTCTTGACAAGATTACGTTTCTCAAAGTACAATGCTTTATGAATCTTGTAGAAGCTATGTTTACACAAGTAAAATATACTGCATTTCTCTATAACGATCAAGTTGTTTGGTATGTTTTGCTTTCGTTATTTCTCATTATGAGAGATATATGTATATTGAATATTTTATATAAACTTTTGTAATTTTTGTAGGAGTGGCTTGGAACCTGAAGACATGCAGGTAGTTTATAATTATTTAGTAAGTACTCTTTTGCCAGCTCATCTTGAAAAAGAATTACATGGAGGCTCAATACCTAGAAACTCTCCTTCACCGTTCACTTCTTCACATTATGGAAAGTAAGAACAAATATAAATACTTTCACTTCAATTTAATGTAAGTTGTGACAAAAATATTATTAAAATTATTTTTATTTAGATTTGTTACCGGACCTGCTAGTGTTAATGAACCCAGTTTAATTGGAAAATCACCAAAAGTTTTTATCAACTACTCTACTAAACCTGTATCATTGTATCTAGTAGTGTATCGAGCACTAAGCGCTACAATATGTCTCTTTGTCGATAGTAAGTTAAATTATTGAAACTATTTCATTATTTATCAATATAAAAATAAAAATAAAAATATTTGCATTTTTACTTTCCAGAGAAAACTAGTTTATTGATTGATTTCTTTAAAAGCTTAGACGGTTTTCTGGGACCACAATTAACTACATTAGTTAGCTCAGTATCTGAGCAGTGCTCGAAACATGTAATAGTTACGCCGGAATCATGTACCAAATATTTATATTTTAATAAGTTAAATCTAGCATACAAAAGTACAATACATTTAGATAATAGACGTTGTTCTAACGTACTTACAACACCTGAGGTATTGAGGATTATTACTGATATATACAATGATAGGAACAGGTACATGTATTTCAAAATTCATAAAACATGTGCATTAATGAAAATTACATGTTAATAACTTGTCTCTTAGATTGAAGGAAGCTGGAGAAGTAATTATAAAGACCATAAGTGATTATTGGGTTATTGGAAAATTGTCGAATCTAAGAGAATTTTTTGTTGTTATACAGCAGAAAAGTGCGAGTATTATAGAAATTGATGGTAAGTATAACATATTCTATGTATAATAATAGAATTTATAATGATTGTTTAATAATCTTATAATAATCTCTCCATTTATTACAGATGAAGTAAAGAGACTTTGCGAGAAACAATTAAAAAGTATTTTTTTTCATTGATAAATGTGCAACTAAAAATAGAAATATACGAAATTATAAATATTATTTTTCCTTATTTTCACTTTCATAAAAATCCTTGTCGATTATGAACAACTAATATACATTATATGAAATAATTGTAGGAAGCTATATATTTATATATGTATATACACATGTGATATAAAATGTGAATTCTCTCTATATATATGCATATACATATATATTATTTATTAGTATGGAAAATTGAAAAGGTTTGCATATGTAAATAAGGCAAAGTAATGCTATGATAATAGTTATATGTATATTAACAACGTAATCCGATTATTAAAAAATTGTTGAGCAAAGAAAATTTTAATCAGACATTTTTTTCCTTGTACTATTTTGATTAGGAATATTGTTGAAGAAGTTTTTTAGTTTTGCTACAAAGAAACCATCCATATTATGTACATGCGGGTAAAATCGTTCAGTTAATTTCAATGAGGAATGAAATCGATGTTGTCTATAATTCGTGAAACCCCCCCCCGTCATCAGTTCCAAATTCTAAACCAGTGAGTATTAACTGTACATCGCGCTTTTTAAGAGCGTAATCAATGATCCACTCGTTCTCCTCTGGTAGAATCGAACAAGTTGAATAAACAATTATACCACCCGATTCCGAACGCGAGTTAACACAATCAGTCGTAGTTAATAACAGTTCTCTTTGTAACGTGCAACAGCAGTTGAATGTCTACTTCTGCCTTATTCGTTTTTATACTAAGATTTTTTTGAAACTACTCCTGTACCTGTACATGGAGCATCCAATATAACTCTATCAAAGTTTTTATAATTTGAAAATGGGACAGTCAAATTCATAAATCTTGAAGAAGCAACTTTACTGTGAACTATAATGAAATTAAAGATAGTAAAAGAAAGATTTCTTTACTTTAGGGAATGTTCGCCCGTCGTAATTACAGATTACACATTGACAATACCAAGTCTGTGGAAATTACCAACAATAGCTTTAAGTCGTTCTTTATTATTCAAATCGTTAGCGAATAAAGTTCCAGTATTTTTCATAATAGCAGTAATGTGCGAAGCTTTACCATCTAGTGCAGCACACATGTCAAGAATTCTTTCATTTTCTTTTGGATCTAACGCCATTACGGGCAAGAAACTATAGAAGCGCCTTGTATCATATAATGTCCAGCTAGATATTCCGGTGTTGCGCCCATAAGCACTTGCGAGGAATACACTACCAAACCAATCTTTGTCCATTTTCCTATTGGGTCAAGATTAACACCCCTATTGATGGGAGCCTGAAAATAGATTCAACATTGCAATTATGATTACATTACTAATAATTATGATTACATTATATAAAAGTGGTATTGATTTAATAAATTTCGCTCGTTTTTTGCAATGCAAATTAAGTAATTAAACGATCTATAAATCGAGTTAAATGGATTTAATAATAATAATTGTTCTTATTAATTATATTAATTCTATGTTAATTCTATATTAAATTTACAATATAAAAAAACTAACAAAAAATGTACGTTTCAGGACTTACAGGTCTTTTTTCAGCGATTATTACAGATGTTTGCGTCGTTGGATTGATAATATTCTTATAATATAAGCGTTATAGACATGCTGATATACTAATCATAGTTCGGATAGATTTTCCTGTTCTCAATGCAAGTGTATCGTAAAGGCATGTGACATTACAAGTTCGTCCGATCGAGTTGAACGTATAGCTGTAATAATCGCTGAAGAAGGACCTGTGAGCTGTGAGTGAAACGTACGATATTTCTTTGTTAGTTAATTTTTTTATATTGTTTTTAAAAACAATAATTATTATATTGTTTTTATATTAATAATTATTATTATTAAATCCATTTAGCTCGATTTAGACTGTTTTAATTATTTATCACCACCACTTTTATCATTTTCTTTTTCATCTTTCCTCCATCTGTTCATCTTCAGCAGATTCTTCCTCATATCGCTGGAAACCATCTCTTCGACATCACTTTCTATATTATCCTTCATAAATTGTTTTATTTTGAACGTTTTCTTTAACTTTGCTGTAGAAAACAATTGATTGTCATCCTCATTTGTATCTTGTTCATCCTCACTCATATCCTCTCCATCTTCGCTCATATTTTCTTCATTCTCATATTCTCTTCATCCATTTGTTCATCTTCATCTTCCTCAATTTCATCATTAACATTAAATATATATAGTAATAACATATCGTTATTACTTTTATTTTTTTCATTGTTCTTAACTTTGATATTTTTCTGTTTATTTTGCTTTGTTTATTCTTTTCTAGTTTGATTATTTGTTTATTAGAACATATTTCCATTTTTTCATCTTCGATTTGATTATTATCATTATCACTTTCACTTTTTAAATTGGTCTTAACTTTCATGCTTTTTGTTTTTTTATTTTGTTTGTCTTTCTTGCTTAGCTTCGGTACTTGATTATTAGTGGTATATTTTCAATTTGTCACTTTTATTGTGACA